CTTTAGAATTCCAATATTCTTGTACCAAGGGCATGTCATAAAGGTTCTGCTTGAATGAACATACTGATCAAACTTAAGGTCCGAAACAACTGTCATGGTACCTTATGCAGTGTCTTAACTATATAGAAAGAAGCTAGCAAAGAGCTAGTATACGGTGCTGATATACGTTTAATAGCACTCCACAAATAATGTTGATAAAATAGTGTTGAACACTATATATTAAGGTTTGTTGTCATGCCATGGACCAAAAACTATAGAGAATTGCCAGTTGAGTAGAGAGTTTGCATAAAAGCTTTGCGTAATACTGGTTGGACTCTCTGACAAATTGCTGCAGACTTGAAATACTCCCCAAACACTGTCAAGTTTTCCGTAGATCGTGAAACTGAGACAGGTAAGTTTGAAAATAGGAAAGGAAGAGATGGAACACCTAATCTCAATGATACTGATGTTAAGTATCTTTGTTTATGCATCCTTTGGGACAGAAGGAATACTGCCACTGATCTCAAGCATGAGATAAATAACCATGTACCAAATGACAGAAAAGTGTCCAGATCAACAGTATCAAGAAGACTCAATGAGAATGGAATATTTGGTCGTCTAACAGTTAAAAATCCGTTACATCGATTTCCAAACATTGTCAAGAGACAGAAATTTGCTAAAAAGTACAAAACTGTACTGTTGATGATTGGAAAAAGGGTGTTATGGAAGGATGCATCCAAGTTTGAAATATTTGGTTCAATGCATAAGTTGTATGTTCGGCAGAAGAAAGGTGAACGTTACTTACCTCAATGCATAGCACCTACCATGAAGCATGGGGGAGGCAGTGTGATGGTTTGGGGGTGTTTTTCTGCTGAGGCAACAGGAGATATTTGTAAAATAGATGGAATAATGGACCAGTGCAAATACCATCAGATATTGATCCATCATGGTATACCCAGTGGTTTGCATATTATTGGTAAAGAATTCTACTACCAAAAACATAATGACCCCAAACACCCATCCAACCTATGCAGAAATTACTTAGCTAAGAAAGAAGCTGCTGGAGTCATTCAAATGATGCAATGGCCTCCACAGAACCCCGATCTCAACCCAATTGAAGAGATCTAGGATTTGATAGATCAAAAATTTGACAAATCAAAAGTTACTTCCAAAGAAACTTTATGGGTGTGTATTAGAGACATTTGGAGTAAAATCCCAAAGAACACTTTGATTTAAATATGTTTCAACAATGCCTGAAAGACTGTCTGCAGTTATTAAAGCAAAAGGGTGACACACAAAATATTAACTGTTTGCTGAACTCATGCACTTCCACGGAATTTCTGTTGCACTAAATATGAGTAATAAAATTTGGATGTTTCACCTGTGATTTACCTTCCATTGTTCTTTGAAAGTAGCCTGAAAGCTAATTTTTGACTTTGTCCTAACAGTTTTGCACAGTACTGTATATGCATTTTTAAGTTGAAATGAGATACTGTTCAGTAAGTTTTATGAAATTCATGCTGTTTGATTAAATATTTCAACTGTGAGAAGGAAAAAATTAATGGATGTCAGTGAATTGCCCCTCCTAAGTCCAAAATGGGTTAATACTAAGATTGCAGAAACACACTGTAGTCTTGTCCTTTGGTTGGTTTAATTCTCATGTGAACTTGAAGGCACTGATGTCATAGGTCACCCTGGGAGCACAGTAAACTTTCTTCTTCAGTCATTTCCAACCAGGAACATTTACATTGTAGGTTGAAAAGTAGTTATTAAAGTAGTGCTACATTGATTTACAGGAAGTTACTCCAGTTTCTTTGAAGATGTAAATTAGGGAGCACCCTAACATTTATCACTATCTTTTAAATTGTCAAAAACATATGTCATCCTCTTAACTTTGATAAGCTAACTTTTTTACAGTTATGAAAAAAGCCATAAAGACCAAATATTTATTTGACATACTTCTACAGTAGCTGTCCCATGTAGAAGGGTTGTGCAATTATTCCTGAAATTCTTGTTTGTGTATTTGTTAAGATAACAGAGCAGCTTTGGTCTCTGTTTCTAGTATTCCTTCACCTGAATTCACTGGTAGATAAAACTTCTCATTTTAAAGAGGCCATCAATCTCCCCATCTGACTTTAAACCTTTTGTAAGGCACATTTATTCCTATCAAAGTTTAAGTTTAGTTTACCACACTTCAGAATATGGTGCATTGAAATTGTATAGTTCCCTTATACAATCCTTCATTATATCTGCCTACTGATCCTGATTTCCTTGGGTCATTTTGATGACTGAAGGATCAAATAACATTATTTGTAAGTAACATTTTTAGATTTCCACTTTGAGCCTTAGATGTATTTAGAACTTCAGTATAACTTTTCACTGTCATTGTATTTGATCTTGTACCTGAGTGCTCTTACTTGCCTTGTTCTTTTGAGGTTGCTTACATGGATGAGTATGTAAGAAATTCTTGTGAATGGAGTATTAGGTTTTATATTGTATAAGGTACCCCACATAAAGAAAGTGTTTTCTTAGTATCGATACTCCCCACACTCGACAGCAAATTGCAATGCTCTATTTTTTATTTTTTTTAGGTGTGTCTCCTGTATAGCTGTGTCTGATAAAATGTAATTGTAATTGTTTGATGCTCAAAATATAGTATTTGTTTGCAGTGAACTTGATATGGCACTCTTGAGTATTTGTTGCCCCTTAGGCTTTTTACACAAATACTTAACTCACCAGGGAATTATTACATCTCACTCAAACTTTTAGTTTTGACTCATTTAAAAACGTGCTGAACATACTAATCTAGCATAGGGCTACAGTATTTGTCATAATTGTCTTTATCCTCACTCTTCTCATGATAATGATTAAGATACCTATATTTGAAGCATTTCAAGAAGTGTGATTAGAGCCTCAATTAATGTTGATCCCAATGGCTACTGCCTTGAAGATCCACATTTTTTAAATGCTGTATGTACAATTTGTAATACTTATTAGCTGAAACATTAATGATACTGAGTTCTTGAAAAAACCCTAAGAGACTGAATAGTTTTAAAAAATATAACAGGCCTAATACTGATGTCTTATGACAAATATAATTAATTATAACAATGCTTTTCCAGCTCACAATAGGTTTTCACCATAACTGTTGTTATATAACAAATGGTTTATATAAATAGTGTTTCCACCACTAATGTATTTGTTGTGTCCCAGCTGGCATGATGAGCTCTTATTGAGTAAAATGCATTGTCAGCAATGAATATGAAAGACATATTGCGGTTGATGTACAATTATACACACTTATTTTTCTTGAAAAACCCTAAGGGACTGAATAAAGAATGTAGTATAAAAATATAATTGGTTCAATACTGATGTCCTATGATACTGTTGTAGGAGACATGTGCATCATTAGTGTTTATTGTGAATGCTTTTCATAATTCTTTTTTGCATGACAAAGTTCTGTATGTTTTTTAAAGTATCATCTTCAAATAATATGGATGGAAAAATTATATTACACTACACTTTATATGAACCTGTACCTATCATATAAAACTTCATTCAAATAATACATTTGATGTGGATTCAAAATTTGGCTTTTTTATGTGTCAAATATTGTATTATCATCATATATATTTCACGTCAATAAATTAGCAAAATCCAGAATTTGTAGGATTAAAATTTTTCAAAATTCATAGCTGCTTTTTACATTTTAGTATTTGAATCCAGAAAGGTGTTTCTGCAAGAAATTTCTGGTAATATAACCTTGGTTACACTAAGAAATAGTTAGTAAGCATATAATTAAAGTAATGTCATCTTGCCATAGTTACACTTTTTCCCAATAGTTATCAAAAGAATTATTGAAATGAAAAATTCCAGTACTATGTTGAGGTACTGTTAATTTGAAATGCAGTGGCAGTTTAATATCAAAGTGAAGATGAAGCTGATTGAATGATATTCAGTTCTGGGTGAAGTTTGTGAATCAACAGACTTTCTTTTGTTCTTAGCATTCTTTCATTCTATGCACTTCCCAATATGCTAAAATTCTGGGATAAGAATGATGTCAGTCTTATATGGAGTATTTTGCACATCTTCCTTAATTGTTGAACTCAATTAACAAATTGTAGAGCCCACATAGCCATAGTTACACCATGAACATATAACTTTATAGATGGCATAAGAACAGAGCATTTTTGGAACCATGTCTTTAAGTAACTGCATCACATTGCTCTTACATCATCTATACATTGTTGGAAAGTGTTCAGAGGAGGGCTACTGGGATGATACTTGGGATGGAAAGGTAATCATATGATGCAGGTTAAGACCTCTGAAAATGTTTTCTCTTGAAAAAAGAAAAGTTAGAAGGGATCTGATTGAGGTGTTTAAGGTTAGAAGGGATCTGATTGAGGTGTTTAAGATTGTTTAGAGAAATGATGATGTTGATGCATCATCTTTTTTCATACTTAATGGTGAGAATGTTTGGACTAGGGTATACAAATATAAATTTTGAAAGTAGGAGTCATTTTCAGCTAAGACAGCTTTATTTTTATAACAGGATGGTTGTTCTTTGGATTGGTTTTACTTCAGATGTGGTGGATGCAGTTAATTTAAGGGAATGTAATGGAAGACTTGATATATATTTGAATAATAAATGCTGTTTCTGAGTGTTTTATTTTCAGTTTAGTAAATAGGATGGCCTAGATAGACCAGCAGGTTTCTTACTGTATATATCTTATATATATATATGCTTTATTACTTTACAAATAAAGTTGCTTCTGAACAGTAAAAGGATTGTGTGCCTAAAGAAATTGATTTGATTACTAAGCCAGTGATGTAGGTTCTTAGGCTGTATTAACTTGGCTTTCAAAACTAACTGTTGTTTTCACCACTAAATTTTCATTTATTAATGCGCAGGTCATTAAACATCTAAGTTACTCCAAGAAAACATTTAAATATAAAAGTATGAAACTTGTCATTCTTCTTGAATGTTACTTAGCTGAATTAACTCTGTTTTATATTTGTAGTCTGAAGTGATCCGTGCATATGATACCACCAAAAGCAAGCCCCAAGGAGTGTGAAGTGTTCATTCTTCTAAATATTATAGCTTTGTCCTTTTCATGTATGTCTCCAGTAAAATGGACAGGCAGGAAGGTTGCTATGGACAAGATTGTGTGAAGGACCTTAATTTAGCTATATTCTAGTCAGTTCTTAATGTTTCAGAAGTATTTTGAAAGCTTTATTCATATTCATTCTTTTACTACTAATGTTATTTGGTTGACAGCCTAAAAAACCGTGTATACCCTCAAGTTTTGATTAACACTCTCTATTGAAAAAATAACAAAACTATGTCCTTTTTGATACATTCACTTCCTGTCATAGCTGTCAGTGTTCTTCTGTTTCTTCTATAGAAAAATTAATAACAGTTGGAATCAGTGTTGTTGATTTTGAGTGTTACAAAATTGTAAGTGTTTAAAGTATTCTTCTGAACCAATATGCAGGAAATTTGTTTACATATCTTTTATAAACCAGGTGAAAAATATAAGTGTACCAGCTATTTTGTCTGAAATGTTGAACACAGAAATAAGAAGTTTCATCTATAATAACATAGGAATTACTGAAAGTATTATAGTATTGAATGTAGGGTTGGATATCAAATTCCATAAGAACATCTTACTCAAATTTATACAAAGTAGGTACACAAAATGTAACTTGTAGTGTAGTTACTAAATGGTACTCAAAACTAAAATTGCTGTTGAATTATGTTTCATATATATTCAAACTGTGCTATTTTTACAGTAAAAAAAAGATTAACACAACATATTGGTGTAATTCACGCAAGTAAAAACAGCACTCAGATCTTGACATTTCTCCATTTAATAAATCAGTTTAACAAAAATGTATTTTAATAATAATCTTAATTCGATGAAATATTTAGCTAATAAAAATTAGAAAAAGAGAGGTAAAAACAGAATCATTTTATGTGATATAATTTTCCTGTCTATTTATTTTAGTAGCTCCATATTTAAAATTTCTATTGTTTTTGTTTGAATAATTGTGTATTTAAAAGTTCTTCTCATATTGGATTTTGTAATCACAAATAATTTATCCTTAGAGGTATAGATGCAAGGTTGGAAAGGATATCATTCAGTCTGAGAATTGTTTTCTGGTTACTTCATTCATTCTCCTGAAGTATTTAGGTTTTACTGATATTTACTTTAGGTAGAAGAACACTGTTATTCTGAATTTTGTGTCTTGTGAAGTTGCTGTAAACATATTTTGATAACCATTGTTTTCTAGTTTATAAAGTTCAGTAGAACTGTGATATAAACTATGTTTATTGTGGTATTTCATTTTTGTTATTTAAAGCAACAAAAAACTATCGTGTTAGCGTTAATTATTTGACTTTTTTTTCTTAAGAACTAAGCTAACCAGAAAATATGAAAAATGTGTCAGTTTGGCAGAGTTACCTAAAATGATAGTTATACCTAAGAATTACTTACAGTATTTTTTCCCAAAAGGCTTAAAAATGCAAGCCCAACAATTGATCCAGTTATTTCAGAATTTTATTAGTGCTTTTCAGTCTTGCATATTAATTGCTAACCTGCATTATTATCAGAAACTTGTGGCATGAAACAATATACACATTTTTTTTTCATCCATGCTCTCATACCTTTAAATCTCTTTCCATTCAAACATTATGTAGTTTTTCACTGCTCTATTAATTTATATAAAACTGTTTTAAAATGGAATTTAGCTTTGAAATGACTAGTGATTTACATATTTGTTATATATAGTAACCTCAATATGCAGCAGTGGCTTTCATGTCTTGTTTGAAATTATAGAACTCGGCAGTTCAGTTTTTATATATCAATATACATGTACATTAATTTGTAAATATTAATCCAGCTTGTACAGTGAGAAATGGAGTTGAGTCTTTTTTTTTGGTTCCCTAGATGATATAAGATCTGTAGAAATGATGATAATTATCATATTCTCCTTTAGGTTCAGTGAGATTTTATTTGAGATTACATCTTTATTTGCAGCAGTTGAGTAGTTCTTACTGAATTGAAAGCATCTTATAATTAGGGCTCCAGTTAATAAAGGTATATCTACCCAATGGATTTTGTACTTTGTATTTCATTGCACAAGAAAACTTAGTATTATAATTTATGACTTGGAAATTACACTATACAATTTGATTTATTGTGCATGATCCTGTATGTAACATTAGTAGTTAATGAATGAATTGATAACTCTTAGCTATTTTTGTTTATTGAAAAAAATAATAATTGCTTCAATATACAAATCAGTTGAGACTTCATATTAATACCTTAAATGTTGGAATTTTGTGTTTAGATTTTTGTATATTTGTTCTTAGTTTAGTGAATCATAATTGTGAACCATTTTATTTCATTCACTTGTTTAGTGATGTTTTAATGGCATATCACATTTTTTTATCATTTGTCAGTAGTTTTTTCAACTTTGCTGTTCACTCCATAAGTGAGTTACAAGTTCACTGTCTTCAGACATAACTTTGCATGAATTGGTTTTGACCTTAAGAATATAAATCATTATGTATATGACCATATTTTACAACAGAACTAAAAAGGGAAAGACACTGTACTAGCAAAATTAATGAATATGCTTAAGGTATATTACAAGAGTAGTTTGAAATCATCTTTCAATAAATACTTTATTTATTGCTCTGGCTGTTCTTGCTGGCGAGTCATGCTTTAATTGTACAGATATCTGGTTTACAAATTAATCTATAATTGCACAAATTTAAGTACAAAAAAGAAATTATTCCAAGTTCACACAGAATTAAACTTCCAGAAATTGAGGTTTAAAAAATCTTTATGAAACATTAGCTTCGTCAGTATGTGGATATTTGATCATACATACAAATTTCTGTCAGTATGTTCACTTCCAATACTTTTTTATTTTGCAGAGCATTCAATATATTGGTATTTTTTAATCCTGGTTGTACATTTCCCTTTAAAAAAAGTCTCTCTTAGACTGTTTGACATTTGGCTCTTATCAAAGTATTATAAGAATTTTTGCAAAAGCATTTTGAATATTATACTTTGTACTGAAAAGGCATATGCTAAAGTAAAAAATGTATTTCATTTTTAAGCAGGTGATTCACATGGTTTGGTAGAAATTACTCTTTACTATTTTTCTCATTCATAGTAAGGAGATTTTGAATTGAAATTTATTCTGATACTATTCAAGTTTATGTCTCCATTAGTCTTATAAGTGTTTGCATTACACAACAGCAAAATATGACTTTCTAGAATGTTAAATGTATCTTTTGTTACTGGCATAGAACTCTTTATCAGTATGAATTTAGTACTTTTAAGTGAGTAGTTATGCTTGTTTGTGAGTTTTTTATGCTAAATAACTTTTACAAAAAAGTTATTTTACAAATAACTTATATGGTTACTGCATATGTTTGGCACATAATATAAAAAAATAATACAGCAACATTCAAATTGCATCTTTTTTAAATTGAACAATGAAAAAACTGTCTTGATTCACAAACCAAAATGTATTTTAATGACAATAATTAAAAAATACTTTGTTTTCCCAGGATCTCCAATTTATAGTTTAAGTTATTTAGAATGCTAGATCATGTAGTTTATTACTCATTCAGTGATATTTTATGACACAGAAATATCGTAGTAACACCATATCACTTTGAAGAATTGTACTAAAATTTACAAAAAGACAGTAAACTGTAAAGTATGCAGCACGTCGTAATTTGAACAATAATATTAGTTAATTAGGTGCTACAAAAAGGAACCTTTTTTAAAGCAAATTTCATGTTAAATCAGGTTCACACATTATTTTCTCCCAAAATATTTCTACGCTACTTTGGATTTTCCATGAATCATTATAAACTTCTTGTTTCTCTATTTTGTTTTAGGTAACTTATGTGTGCCACAGTAGTCTTATCTTCTGCTATGTTTTTTTGTTGTTGTTTTCAGGTGTTTATTACATCTTATTCTTTGCTGATCTTTCTATTTCTTTGTCATATTCAATAATAAAAAAATGCTATGTATATAAATATACAATTTTTTTTGCTTTGTAAAAATATTCTAACTCTTGTGTTTTATGTATGATAACAATATAGTATTATAACTAAGATTAACCTGCCTAAGTTCTGAATATTAGTAAATTTGTCTGTTTTTTTCATCAGTAGTGATTATCATAACACCTATGTATTATAAAAGGCCCGTTTTGGACTGTCAGTATGCATAAAATATAGTTTACCAAATTACTTAGTAACATATCAATTACACTCAAACAGCACATACTAATGAAAATTTGTAGGATTAAAAGTTGAATAAGAAAATCAATGAAGGATATGTTTAGTGCTTGTGAAATACTTTTATTGAGAAATCAAAAGATCTGTAAAATTTACAAAAATGATAGAGCAGCTTATACATGGAATAAGAGACAACTGATGCAAAAAAATTATAAATAAACCTGGGTAATCTTGAGACAGAATTTCAAGTTAGGATAATGATGTAATGATTTTGATAACAAATTTGAAAAAATCATTTTGTAATAGCCAAAAGAAGACAGAAAAGAAATAACATAAAATGGTGGAATATGGTAAGAAATTGAGTTTTGTAAGTGTACTTTGTTGAAAAGTAGCTTGTAGATCTAGAATGCCTTTTAATTGCAATGTAACACATGCTGTTGTGTATTCCTCTTAGTACTCTGTTGAGGTGGGGCCTGTAGCTTGCTGCTTAAGGCCTCACCTTATTACTGCCTTTAACCCTACTGTGTTATAATACCTTGTTCATTGTGGGAACAATATATGCGACATGATAATTTTCCCAAACATATATCTGGTATTCAATTGTATATCCAGATGAGGCTGAAATTTTAACATCCTCAGTAAGGCAAAATTTCTCAAGTAGAACAAGTTTGTTCTTAAACAGGAATTATATTATTGAATTCTAAATTACAACTATAACATAACTTATCAGTAATTTTTTAAACTTCCTTGGAATTTGAAAAATCGAAACACTTAAGAAAATAATAAATAATCTGTTATTTTTACATTACAAATGTTTCTAAATTGTTTATGTAATAAACTGTAAGATAATGAACTTGAATCTAGCTTCTTTGTTTGTGTTTCTCATATGTACAGAGTTATTGTATGTAACAGCATAAGTTTTGTGTTTGTAAGTACTTAAAAACACTTAATTAAATGAGACAGTTTTGGTGAAATCTAAGTGTTGAGTAAATTAAAATAAAGTTTAAAGTCGTGTTTTTATTGAATGTTTTGAAAGTCTAACTGAACTTAACAGAGCTGTATAACCAGAATGTAATATCCACATTTTATGCTTGAATATAATTACTTAGTGTAGGTATCCAGTAATATTTGTGTTTGTGATGTACTTTGTTATAATCTATCCATTGCTGTTGACATTCTAAATAATAGTTAATATTCTTATTAAAATTTGAGCATCTCAGGTCATTCATAACCTTGTATTAAAATATCAAAGAATGTTATTGGATGTGGAGATCCACCACCAGGACCTGAATGGTTGGTTATCTTAATTGTCTATACAGTAATGATTGTTAGATAACAATAAAATATATTATATTCACATGTGATTATTACTTTGATGGCATTTAAATCTGTTGTAATACATTACTATACTTCTGTACAATTACATATTCAATTATTACTGTAATTCAATGGAGAGAATAAGGAACTTATTCTTGTTTTACAATGTACGCAACTGTGTTTGTACCTATTGAGTCATTCGGTACTGTGTATATTCTGTTGTACAGAGTAATGCTGGTGGTATACATGCGTGTGTAAAGTACCTACAGTACTGATTTTCTACAAAACAGTGCTTGCTACTGTTGATGTACATGTTATTTTAGATGCAAATTTCATATTTATTGTAAGTGTAATAAAATGTGTACTTTAATTCTTACTGATCATATCCCTAGTTGTAGATGATTGTGGTTGTAGTCAATTTTGTTGGTTAGAAAAGCTACTGATATAAAGATCTGACTTGGCAAAGTGATGAGTATTGTGGTACAGTCTACACACTAGCCAAAAAATAATTGTTTTCTGTTACTTAAATTATATTTTGTTTAACATATTTTTACAGATCCTCTTGCCCTGAGAAAGTTGCATGCCTTACATTTAAATGTATTTCTGTAAAAGAAAAAAGGAGGTTTTGACCAGTGTTAGTTCACTTTATTACTTACCAACTACATAAAAGGTAAAACAGATTTGTGTATTTATATTCACAACAGTATTTCTGCTACTCCAAATGTTCTAGCATTAAATTCATTTCTCAGTTTGCTTTAAAGTATTTAAATTCCCATATAAGTTTATACTGGCTAAATTGAACACTTTTTTTTATCATTTTATTCCTCGGTAATACTTGATAATTTAACAAATGAAACAGTAAGAGGTTTTATTTTTATTGTATTTTTGAGTAAGTAACAATGTGGTATACTTTTGTTTTTCTGTTTTAATGAATGGCTTATATGTTAAAATAAATAATATTGCATTTTCATGTCTCTTGTTTATGTTATCTCAACTACTGTGGTTGCAAATTATTACGTTTATCATATTAATTTATTGCCAAACATGTGTCATCAATTTAAAAACAAACTACAAGTTTCTGAAGAATGTTTTTAGGTGTGAACTTGCTACATGGAAGTATCTCTCATATTATTAAGAGTTGCTCTCAAATAAGATGAAGTTCTAAGTCATACTATTATTAATAGTTTTGTGGCTGAACTTATCTTACTTAGCTCTTGTTTTCAATCAGCTTAAACCAGTTTAGTTCACTCACAAGACTGTTGACAGTAGTATGACTTAGTACTTTAATTATATCAGATGTTGGTGTTCCATTTAAAATAAGTATACATTAACATGAAATTCAACATTTTGTGTAATAAACTTCTATCATAACAATATGCATGATTTGTTGCATAATACTCTAACTCAATTTATTTTTTGCCTTTTTGTACTTTTTTTAAGAACAGTTAGGCTTAACTTCTGAATATTTTTTTTTTTACACCTACATAAATTCCTACATTTGTTCAACCATTTGCGGAGACTTTCATGTATAAATCACCAAAATGGCTGTAACTAGTCACAGGAAGGCCTCACTAATTATTGATCATTATAGTATGCTCTATCTAATTGTTTTGTAATAATACAAAAGGTTTCAACATTAAGAATTTTATGAGAAAAAAATACCCTAGAAAGTTGTCTGAGAAAGTAAAGCACTATACAATTAGTTATCTTATCTCAACGTACTCTGAGAAGCAATTGATTTTCTTCAAAGTGACATAGTATTTATTTGTAAAAGAATTCTTCTCTAGTGACTTAGGATGAACTAAAAGAGTATGCCATAAAATTTACACCAGAAATTCAGTACCTATCTGTTAATTGTGAAGACAAGCATTTCTCAAGCTATGGGCTGCAACGAAAATTGAGTTATTAGAATGTGTGACAGGGTTACAAACAAATTTTGAAAAGAGATAATAGTTTATTTTGTAAGCCAAGCATTTTTTGCATTTAAGCTGTTTATCGGTTTGCAACTGGCCATTGATGTTTACAAATAGTTCTTCAGGCAAAAAAAAAAAAAGGTCGAGAACCACTGGACCATACATCTTCCTTTGACAAATAGTACGAAATCTTAATGGAAATATAAGATTTGAGGCAAAAGATTGTAATTGTTACAGGTTTATTATGAAATCAGTCATTTGACAAAATATTTAGAAAGTTCAGCTATTTCATGATACATGTATATAAATACCATTCTCTGCCAAATTTTTACTGTATTTTTGTCTACATTCATATTGTTGTCAGTCTGGTATCATGTTCTACCACTTGAAACATTAATAGAATGTTTTCTTGTGGGATTACCTTGCCACATTCATAACACACAGACTTTCAGTGCTAGGACAAAAACATTGAAAACTGTGTACTTCATAGTCATATATTACTTTTTGTGGGACATATAATAAGCGTAGAGTGGTGTCACAGATCCAAAAGAAGTTGGTTGAAATTGCAGAAGATTTTGGGTGATTATCCATGATAAGTTTCGTTCTGTGAAGTCATTCTCTGACATAGTAAGATTGCAGTAAAAGCTGTTTTGTCTATATTAAATTTTACATCTTGGAAAATGTAGATGTTTAGAAAGGAAATTCTTTGTGATTTACAACAAACTTTTGGCATTGTCTGAGCTGTGAGTTGTTTTCAGTACACATTATCCCTACTTGCATGGGTGGGGCCAAAGTGTCTATACAAGGTATTACGTATTTGATGTCAGAGCTATTAACTATTAATTTTATCCAACATTGCTGACAAAGAAAATTGACAAAGATTTTATATCAGTATGGATTACTTTGTGCTGTTCTGTATCTTGTGTAAAATCTTGGTAATAAAAGAAACTTAGATAAGAGCTCTCTTCCAGTCTTCACATAGAATAGTTTTTAGTATAGCCACAATTTTGTTTAATTAGCTACATTCAGAAAAACATGAAACAAAATCTAAAATTCATCTTCATAATCTACCGTACCATAGAATGTAAAGCTATCATATACACTCTGGTATAAATACATGAAAGCTATAGATTATGCTAAAGTATCTCCTGTTTGATCAAAAGCTAATTGGATTTTTTTAAGATGCCCATGAGCCTGAGCAAACCTACACAGAATGCATCATTAATTTTGTAAATATGATATTATCGATTAGTTTTCCTACAAGATGATGTAATCTTATAATTTAAGTTCTGATAAGTCTAGATCCCAATGTAGTGATCAGATTTGGCTATACAAACTAGAGAGAGAACAGGTAGGCTCAAGTAAAGTTAAATTGATACTGACTAGGCCCATTATGTACTAATAGAGAAAATCAATGAAATACAAAGCTGAATGTTGTTCACTGTGACCAGCATAAAGATATGAATAAATAAATAAGGCTATAGAATAGTTCTTAGCCATTACTGTGAAATACTGTAGTGATTTTCTTATAAAGAATGACTGTTCTAACTTGGGTCGAACTGACCTTAAAACAATTTAGTGCTGTCTTTATCTGCCTTGCCAATTTTTTTTATGTCTGATTCCAGCACTGGCATTTAACAAAAATATTCTCAACTAACAGATTATTCCATGTTTTTCTCTCACTGTGGGCTAAACTAATCACTGTAGCCTTTACTAAATGTACACATGGCTCAGTATACAAGAAATATTGTTTCTTGCCTGATTGTGCTCTTTTATAAAAGGAAAAGAGAACCAATTACCTGATGCCCTATCTAGACATCCTGCTGATCTCCCAGAAGAAACTACAGATTGGACTAAATCAGTTATCTATCACCTAAACTTTGCCATTGTCAGCATTAACACTTAGCTGTTAGAAAAGCTAAAGATGATGAGTACAAGTGTTTATTTTAACTAGAAACCTGGACAGTTGTCAGATGATTCTAATATAGTTACCGAGACTAAATAAATCCAAACACTAAGGTTTGAATGGAAATGTTCTTTATTAAACAAAAAAGGGTTGCTAGCAATGGTGAATATAAAGCAATTATTCCGAAATCATTGAGACTGGTATTAATAGAATTGCATGATCATCCTACAGCTGGTCATCTACTGTTAAAAAACAAGAAACTTCCATCTGGGAAAAGAAATCTTCAGTGGGAGTGACTGATTAAATATCCAGTAACACCTCAAAGTGTGGATGAGTAGATAATGGAATTGCAACATGATAAACAGAAATTAAGATCCACTGTTAAAAAGGCTTAAAAGCGACAGTGGTAAGCATACAACCATAAGAGATACTCAGATACTTTTAAGGTAGGTGACTTAGTATTATTAAAGATACATCCATTATCTTCTACAGTAAATAATTTTACTGTAAAATTTGCCCCTAGACAGAATGGACCTTTTGAAGTTACTAAGTGTGTTACTTCATTAGTGTATCAATTAAAAGGTCCTGTTCAACCTACTCAAAGGACATTATGGCCACATTGCAGAGTTGATTATTGCAGTTTAATTGGTCTTCAAACTGTTAATAAAATTCTGGTAAGGCAAACCAGAGCTGGAAGCTAGTGAAGATCAAGCTGCAGATTCCAGAACATGATTTGTAGTTTTTCCTTGTAAATTATCTGTATTTAAACTACAAGGAATTCCTGGTGTCATCATAAAATAGAGCTAAAAGTAATAATAGCACTTGTACAAAGTAATTAATGTCATCACTTTATTTTTCTAAGGGGGGGGGAGGGATTAGAAGATAGCGAATTATACTTTTATTTTGTTACGGTTTTATTTACTGTTCCTTTATTATTCATTCTGTTGTTTAGTTCAACTGTGAATTTTTAGTTATATTAAAGCACTAACTCACTTTCTATCTAGCACCTTGATTTTGAGTATATATATGTATGCATCTATTATTAAAATGACATGAGCTTCTTTTCTGGTGAAGTATAGATATTAATGTTGTGAAAGCTTGTGGATTTATGGTAATGGCTAGTCATATGAGAGGTAACCCTGTGGTGTAACCACTGAAAATGCCTTTCTTAATCCTAAAAATGAGTCAGTTCACAAGATAGTTATTGTTAATCATTGCTCAATATTGAAAATTGGTTTAATTTTGAAACATCATATTATACTCCAGTGAATTGCTTTTTTTTCTCCTTCTGGTTCTTTTTCCTGATATTTATTGAAATTAAAAACATTGGGACTTATGTTGTATTATTTATTAACATTTCTACCAAGTCCTGGTGTATAAGTTCAATAAGAGAATTCTTGGAGAAACGATGAAACACCACCTACGCATAAGATGTATTCTCATCTTATGAGAAGCAGTTTCTTTCAGGACAAGGTATGAAGTGGTAAGTTTGTAGCAGCTGCAGTAGGTGTACCTCAGCCAGTTCATCCTACCAACATTTAACCAACCATTAACACATCCTCATAATGCAGTACAAAACCACTGGTATCCAGTAAATGGGCAGGGCTATACTAGCTCTCCCCCTAGTTTACATACCTGTGTTAATGATGCCTCTACTCAAATGTAGTTCTAGATGAAAAGAGAAAAGCATCTGCTTTAGCTGTGGAATACTGGATTACTAATAAGAACTACCAATGTCTTGCCATGGATCAATGTTATCGGTTTCAACTGATGGCTCAAAAATTCCTGGAGAGTCGATAACAAGCAGTAAATGTTGCTGTTTCAGTTCCAGAAAATTAACATAGCACAAGTGGAGTCTAGCTATTGGCTTGGAAGAGCATAGCAATGAGATTGTGTGGTCAGATCATCTCTAAGAGAGCTGCTTAGAGCTTGGTACATACCTATAAAACTACAAGGATGGGAGATTGTGTTTCTGGTTGATTAAAGGGCTATTAGTATCTTCTGACAACATTTTTTTTTTGCTTGCTTGTAATTATTATAGTTTGAGAAACACTGTACTAATGAATGTAATTGAGTAATGGGGCTCTCAATTAAGTGATTAGCAAATGCCATTAATTGCCCAGCTCAAATAATGAGAAGTAGAGCATAACATCCTATCCTTCTGTGCAGTTGTGAATGGTATGTTTCACTTTCAAGCTATGCAGAAGAAGTAGGTAATAAAAATGGATAGATGGTGTTCTAATGCATGTGAAAACAAAAAGAAAACATTTTAATATTGAATAAAATAAAAAAAAAAGGAAATGCACCTAAAGAAAGTGAAGGAAAGATAATATGCTTCATTAGAATTGTTGTGGGCCTATGTTATTTTTTTCAAACTGAACATTTATACTGTCTTGTTAATGTTACACGCATGCATTATTATCACATGGATGGGATTTGACAGTACACCGGCAAGCTACACTAAATTATTATTATTTTAGTGTTTTTACGATATAAATAAAATATTATGTGAAAACATACTACACTAATACACTACAACATGTGGCATTACACCCTGAAATTCATGGTTTCAGACTTTTTTTTTACAATGCATTTTCCAAAACAGTATTAGTGCATTCAGATAATTGAAAAGTCTTGTTGTGACAGTACCAGTCTTTGTGTGTGTGTGTATATATATATATAAATTTT